CTGCACTCTGCACCACGCCAGGCGTGGGACCATAACACACAAGTCCTGCTTCGCGGGATCCTGGAACCAAGGTGCAACACGACCAACCCGAACGGGTTTGCCACTCCACTTCAGGGTTCATCCCTGATCCGTCGATGAAAAATTTCCAACCCCAGGTGGCCCCTGGGCCCCAGTCTTTTCTGGAACTTCTCTTCAGCCACGGATCCCACGAGCGGTGGGGGGTATCCGTCACGTCCCGAGCCTGTAACACCATACTCGACACGCGGACAATCTCCTGCTTCCCGACTGATATCCACAAGCTCGGCCATATCAAAGCCACGCCGCCATGCAGCTTGACCATCACATTCATATATACGGTGCCGAATGGTGCCTGCCTGAGCTCCACAGCTTCGACACATGTTGGATACGGAATATCTTTCACAATACAGCTTGCTCTGGGTCCAAAGGCCTCCATCAAGATGAGTAACAACTAAATCTGCCTGGATATGTTCACCCCGTCCCCTCATACGCTGCAACTCCTGCTTAATAGGATCCAAGTACGGCATACAGTCCCACCCAAAGTGCCTCTGCGCTTGGATCTCCTGGGCCCTGCGGAGGCTACGATGGATGAGGCTCTTGAGGGTCTGGAGCCCTATCTCAAGGAGGTCCACCACGAGCCCCTGGCCATCTTTCCACGTCACATAGTCAACCGCCACCCATCCTATGCGCACGAGGGTCTGGATAACTGCGCCAGCAGGTCCTATCACCGAGCTCCACCCCGCCTTGGACGCGGCCGCGGCCGCTTCAAAGATGGTGGAAAGCAATTTCCGAGGGAGCCACTCTTGTCGCAGTGCGGTATACCATGTCAAAAGCGGTAACGTATTGACGACGAACGACGGGTCGAGGTCATACGGATCCGTTAATAAATACTGCACTGCACGCGAGCGCCCCTTAGCCTTCCCAAACAACACAAAGGATGCTACAGCGCGTAGACTGGCCAGGTCCGTCGTCGACATCCCCTGGACCCTTATACCGTACGTAGCTGCCGCCATCCCTCCAGCCCGAAATACGCGTTTCAACCCTTTTTCTGTGATGCTTAATCGAATGAAACCGACCAGCTCGCCTCCGAACGGACCAAATCCTCTGCCTGAGCGTCTTCTTCCCCTTCCTGAACTGCATCCCGAAATCGTGCCCGAGTTTTTTTACCGAGGAATACGCCTTAAAGCAGTACCTGGACAAAACCTTATGCAGCCTCTGGGCAAGCTGGTCACTCGAGGCCACAATCTGGCCCTTCTTCCTGGAGATGACCAAACCTAACAGCTCGAGACGACGACACAGGTCCGGCACAGCTGTGGCGATTTTCAGCTCCACGTTCCTCATGGAGCCTATCGCTTCGACGGTGATGTCATCCACCATCACATATAGAGTGAGCGAACTCCACCTTTCCTGCATATACTGCAAAGCATCGTGCAAAATGACCCTCAGGAGCGTCGTGGCAAATGAACAGCCTGCCACGATAGATCTCGTGATCTGGATAGTGTCGGACACAATCTCACGCACCTTGACCCGATGCTTACCACCATACACCATGAGCAAAAGCCTGATACGACGCAAACTGAAATTATGCTTCACACACGCGTGCCACAATACATCGTGCGGGATCTTCTCATCGCATTTTCCATATCTATAAGAGCCGACGCTGACGACGCTTGTATTGCTTTGGCTGACTCGACCGACGCTGCTTGCTGCCATATCGCTCTCTCACAATTTTTCCCTTTCGCCCCATAGATACATTTCAGCTCGTGTGCTCGCTCCCACTGTGCTGCTTCATACCTACGGATACGGCTTAATACTCTGATCGCTGTCGTCAGGATGCCGATGGGCCTGTAGCCGCCATCTGGCTTCTGCAAGAAGGCAATCAGCGACGTGTCGCACTGCGCTGGGATCAGCAAGTGCGTCTCCACACACGAAAGAAACTTGGCATACACCTAGAGCGCCTGATCGCTGAGCTTCCTCAGCGCTGCAGGGCTCCACCCATCCACACCTACGGCTGTGTTCTTTTGAACCGTTTGAGGGCTCCCTTGATCTGCTCCAGAGTTGGGACTGGTGGGGCATCTCCGAGGGGTAGTCCTAGGTGCTCTGCCGTGAGTCGGCTGGGCTCTCCTTCGTGCCAGATGTTCCTCCACTCCTCCAGAAGGGACTCGACGGTGTCGACCTGGCCTGCGGGGCCTCCAGAAACTCCAGTGGGGTCGGGAGCCCGCCCAACAGTTTCCTTGGTGTACTTATACACAGCCCCTCCACCAGCCGCCAGAGAACTATTCACCCAGTCCCTCCAAACCTTCGCCTTGGCCTGCCTGAAACACGACTCAACTACTTCGGCGAATTCTCGAACGGACTCAGCATACCCATCCAAATCATCAAGAGAAACGCCAGCTTGAAAACGTAGCCTATCTTGAAACTCTCGCCACCCAGGAACAGCTGCTAGGTCGGATGTCGGCTTACGGAGCTTGCCTACGAGATCCTTGACCCCAGACGATTGCCAGCAGTGTTCACGCTTCCGAAGGTGTCTGAGCTCCTCTAGACGGACCTGGAACTTCCTGAGCGCCCTGGAGGCCTTTGTGCACTTGGGATAGGGGCCCTTGACATTCTCCAAAACAGGCCTAGATACCAGATGATACCCAGCTCCTCTGCCGAAATACTGCGACCTATCAGCTAGAGGAATACCTAAGATGTCGGCAAGCTCTCCTTCCATCATCGCACACATGTCCGAGTACAATAGGTTGAACTCGGTCTGGGTTGGCCTCTCGTCGAAGCCGTGAAACCTATCTAGCAGATTGCTCCAGCTCCTCTGAGGCGCAAGTCCTATTGGCCCTTCGAGGGGAAAGGGCCGAGGCAACTTTAAAACCTGCTTTGTCCTCCGATGGGTGTCTGTGGAGAGAGTCAACATTTCTGGATAATGCGTTTTATTCCCTGACTCCTCCACCCTGCGACAGGACTTGATCGAGCCCACGAGGTCGTGCGAGACAATGAAAAGAACCGAGCTCTCTCCACCGACCTACCCTGCACGTGGGCTGGTTGCCGTACACGACGACAGCCCTAAGCTTGTGAATGATTGGCAACGCCTGCACTTCTGACGGCAACGAGTTGAAGTCCGCAGCCCAGATGAAGGGCTTCTGAGCAGCGTGAAGAAATTCGCCCATCTGATTTATCAGCTGGCGACCCCGTTCTCCCTGGACTCCTTCCCCATCAGGAAGATACATACTAGCTACATATAGTCCCCCTCGTACTCCTCCTCCATTAACCCAGACAATGGAACTCCGAGGGTTCATAAGGTGCTTGTGGGGCCCAACGACAGAGCCCATGCCGATGTGGTGCTTCGCGGCGATGCCGACCCCAGACGACACCCCTTTCTCACCAATCCCCCCTGTGCGCACAGCTGGTGTGAGACGTAGCTTCCAGCCATCCGATCGCACACTGCTCTCACTCTGAGGTATCCGCTCACGCAAAACTCTGCACTCCTGGAAGCACATTACATGAGCACTACTCAGAGCTGGATCAGTCAGGGCATGCTGGGTTCCTGACCAACCCGACGTGTTGACTGTCACAAAATTCCATGAAGTGGCCGAACTTGATGCAGAGCCTGAGTCCGACTCGTCTGACGAGCCTGCACTTGATCCATACTGCGTGCTAAAGACTCTCCTGGCCGCCCTCGACTTCCTTGTTCTTGCCGAGGCCCTTGGCCAAGAGAACCTGGGCCTTCTCACGGAGCTCCTTGCTGTTGCGTCCGAGAGGCGAGCCCTTTCCTTGCCCAGGTCCGTTTGCTGCTTCCTGCCCTGGAGGGGGTTGAGGCTCCGCCGCCGCCGCACCGTCGTCCGCCGCCGATGCCACGCCCGCCGATGCCCCATCGCCCTCCCCAGCCGCATCTCCATCAGCAGCTCGTCGTCGCTTGCCCGCAATGCGGGCCCGTAACTCCTCCTGCTCCTTCTGGGCGGCCTCGGCCTTGGCCTTGAGCTCGCCGAACAGGTTGGTGGCCAACTCCCTAAACTGGGTTTTGAGTCGAGCCTCCCGATCTTTAGCTTCTTTGACGTCGGACTCCTGCAGATCGATATATTCACCCAACCCGAATAAATCATCACCACATGATAAGTCCCAATCGGTGTCCTTGCCACTGAGAGTGTCGACCAAGGAGACAACCTTATTGGCCGTTGCGGCACTCCCAGGCTGAGTCGATGATATGGTGCAGTGGAGCTCCGTGATCGCCTGCTTGTAGATCTCCTCCTGCGCCGACAGCTCAGCCAGGGTGCTGGACACGACCTCCTGCTGCTTCTGCACTTGCTCATGCATCTCTGCCAGCTTGGTGGTCTGGACCCGCAGCTCCCCTTCCAACTTGATGATGGATCGGTTGGCTTGGTCAGCGCGAACCTGTGGGGAGACTGCGGTGCGGTCCTTGGCCACCAAGACCGTCTCGTAGTACTGGGCGAGGGGAGCGTTCTTCCCCTTGTTGGCCAACTCGATGAGTTGGCGCACTTCTTCAACGGATAGATCTGGAACTGGGTCCTTGCCTCCCGCCTGTGCACCGACTGGCAATGGAGCCATGCCGCCAAGCCCAGGAGGAGAATCGCCCAGCTGATCATGGTCCCAACCGTCACGGTCGGTCCCTTTGCCCTTCTTGGCCCTCTTCTTCTCGCCGGTCTTCCAGTGTGCCCCGCAATGCTTGCAGTGCGCCTGGTTCCACTTCGTTTTACTGCACCCGCAGCGCTCGCAGCGCCACATGTGAGAACTGCTGCCATCCCAAGATTGCTGTGGAGCCATCAGCAGAAACAAACGTACAGTGAAAGAAGGGGGCGCGGGTCTCTGTGACCAGCTCGAGCCCCCACCCCAGGGGAAGGGAAGCCCCCAGGCAATGGCCTTGAGCCAAATGGCTACGGATCTCCTCCTCCTCCTCCTCCTCCTCCTCCTCCTCCTCCTCCTCCTCCTCCTCCTCCTCCTCCCCCCTCCTCCTCCCTCCTCCTCCCGCCCAGGGCGCAGACGATCGCTGGCTCGGAGCAGGCGGAGGCGGCGAAGGAGGCGGCGAAGGCCCCCGGCCGCCGGCGGGCGCCGTCCTGCGTCTTCGTCCGGGTGCTGCCGCCGCCTCCGCCGTCGTCGTCGCGTCGCCGACGCTCAAGCAGCAGGGCCGGACCTAAACGGTGTTTTTGGTGATTTCGTGGGCCGTGTTCGTTTCGACGTCGTTTTGCGCCAAGGGTGGGTTCGATACAAACGCGAGGGAAAACGGAAACATAACAAAAACGAAAAACAGCGTTTAGGTTCAGCCTTGTGAAGCAGTGGCGAAGCGTCCTGGCTCGCCGATCGGCCCACCAAATAATGTCCTAGAAACTAACTTATTGTGGTCTGCACGGAATGTTCTTAGAACATATCTGGTTGGGGCTGTCTTGTTTTGACACATCGGCTTCATGTTCTGAGAACATTTTTTTATATTGGAGCATTTGTGGGTTCTAAGAACACGTCGTGGTAGGCCTATAGGAATGCCGGGACGGCCGGTCCCTGCTCAACCAGAACTCATCGGTTACCCCATCCCCATCCCCACTGGGCCATGGCACGTCGGCACCACCAGCCCACCTCCGAAGCTCAGGATGGACCGCGCGACGCCCGCAGGAGACAGCACACCTCAACATCTGGGGGGGGGGGGGGCAGAACGGCATGCGGGGCAAAGGCCGAAGCAGTGGGGATCTTGGAGGAGGAGGAATGAGAGGAGGAGGAGGAGGAGGAGGAGGAGGAGGAGGAGGAGGAGGAGGAGGAGGAGGAGGAGGAGGAGGGGAGGAGGAGGAGGAGGAGGAGGAGGAGGAGGAGGAGGAGGAGGAGGAGGAGGAGGAGGAGGAGGAGGAGGAGGAGGAGGAGGAGGAAGGGGGGGGAGGAGGACCCCCTCCCCCCTCCAACTGTTGTTGGTGGTGGTGGAGAACAGGCCCATCACCCCAGGCCCAGGGCCTCGTTCGTCTCCCCGCAGTCGGGATGATGGGCGCCCGCTCGCGCGGGTCCGTTTCGTGTCGGGCCCGCGCTGGGGCTGCTTGCTCTTGCTTCCGTTCAGCGCTCCGCGCCCGCGGAGTCACCATTGTGGGAGCTCCAGGGACCCATGCGGATCACGGGAAGGTCGTGACGTCGGATGTCCGGGGAGCTGCCAGGGGAGGCTCCGACGAACCAGGGAGAGTCGGGGTCAAGTCTGGGGAGCTTGCATTTGCTTGGCGCAGATGTGCGCACTTCGTGGGCGGGCTGAGGGGTAGTCGTGGACGAGCTGGGCGAAGAGGGAGAGAGAGAGAGAGAGAGAGAGAGAAAGAGAGGAAGAGAGAGAGAGGGGGAGAGAGAGAGAGCTGTATCTATATATATATATATATATATATATATATATGTGTATATATATGTACATATACATATACATATACATATATATATATATACACATATATATATATATTCACATACATGTACAGGTGTGCAATTCTCTACCCCCTGAGCCTCAACAAGGAGTGATAGGGGTCCTCTGCGGGCTGCTGATGCGCAGAGGGGCAGGGCAGCAAAGGAGAGTCGGGCTCCCGGCCCCACCTCCGCTCAGCATGTGCCCAGGACCCCTCCCGGGGTCCGGCCGGGCCAGCTTCTCGAGCTCTGCCTCAAGCAGTGGCGAAGCGTCTTGGCTCGCCTATAGCCCTACCAAACAGTGCTCTAAGAACCTCTTGTGGTTTCATTTCTGGCGGAGTCTGTCTTGTTTTAACACATCGGGTTTATGTTCTAAGAAAAAGTGTTCCCTACCTAGGCTCTGCCTAGAAGAGTTCTTACTTGGTAAGCTTAAAGGGCCGGGCAGTGTTCCCCGCCCTGGGCGGTTCCCCCGGCATCCGCCCCGCGGTTCCCCCAGTGACGTTCCCTTAGCTTCGCGTTGCTTGCCTCATCTTAGCTTAGCTTATTTTATCTTAGCTTAATTTAGCTTCATCGTAGCTCAGAATTATCTTAGCTTAGCTTACCTTCATCGTAGCTTCTCCGAGCTGTAGCATAGCAGAGCACAGGTTAGCAGAGCGTAGCACAGCACTGCGCAGCACAGCATATCATAGCAAAGCCCAGCATAGCACAGCATAGCGCAGCATAGCATAGCATAGCATAGCATAGCGCAGCATAGCATAGCTGAGCTCGCTCAGCTTAGCTTAGCTCAGCTTAGCTTCATCTTAGCTTCGCACAGCTGCAGCTTAGCTTAACATAGCTTAGTTTAACTTAGCTTATGTTAGACTTAGCTTAGCTTGAGCTTAGCTAGCTTAGCTTGAGTTTAGCTTGAGTTTAGCTTTAGCTTAGCTTTAGCTTAGAGTTGGCTTAGATTTAGCTTAGCTTTAGCTTAGCGTTCGCTCAGCTTTAGCTTTGCTTTAGCTTAGCTTCAGCTTAGGTTGAGCTTAGCTCTAGCTTAGCTTTAGCTTAGCTTTAGCTTATATTCAGATTAGCTGTAGCTTAGCTATAGCTTAGCTTTAGCTTAGCTCCAGCTTAACTTGAGCGTATATTTAGCTTAGCTTTAGCTTAGCTTTATCATATCTTTAGCTTAGCTTTATATTATCCTTAGCTTAGATTTAGCTTAGCGTTAGCTTAGCTTTAGCTTAGCGTTAGCTTAGATTTACCGTCACTACTAATGCTGCTTTCCTAGAGGCTCCAACTCCTAGGTAGGGTCGCACAGGGATAATTTCTGTTCGTAGAACATGTTTGTGTTCTAAGAATATTTCGTGGTAGGACTACAGGAATGCCGGGACGGTCGGTCCCTGCTCAATTGCCCGGACGTGGCCATGAGAGCGACCCCGAAGGCCCAAGCGCAGCAGGCCCCAAAAAACATCTCCCGGGAGCTTTCCTCGAAGCCCGACGCCCCGAGGACCGGACGAGAGGGGCGCCGAGGATGACCATTGCTTCAACGCGCGAACCCAAAGAGGCCTCGGAAAGAAATGGCGAACACTCATGCCACATGCATCTGTCAACGCCTCCCCCTCCCCCCAATGTTCCAAAGTTGACTGTGGGTCTGATGGGTTGCACCTCCACCTCGACCGCAGTCTCCCCCGCGCGTGCCAACTTGGAGTTTGGGGGGCAGGGGGGGGTGTTTACTAATTGTTTCCCTCTACCGAAGGTCCCGACCAATTCCCCGGGGTCGGTTTTGTCGCCCAGGATCCATTTCCAGTTTTCCTGGGGCCCGAAATTGTGGACCTCGTAGGCCGACATGAGTTCGACCCAGCGCCCCTTGTGGCGGCCTGTGGCCCACCCTCCCGCGATGATCGGAGGAGGGCCAGCTGAGACAGCGGCATCGCTCCCGCCTGGCCACTGCGCTCGAAAGATCTCCCGCCCGGGGTCCATCCCTACCCGTTCGTCGAGGGCGGATCCAGCCGTGGCGACGAGAAGTCTCGCGGAAGAGCGCCCGCATCGAAAGCACCAGATCGTCGGAGATCTGGGGAGTGGCCAGTGCTTGCGGCACGTCGGCGGCCTCTTCGTTGACGGCGCGCACGGCTGGAGGAGAAGGACGAGGAGGAGAAGGAGGAGGAAAGGGAGGAGTACTGGGAGGTGAGTAGGCGCTCAGGAGCGGCTAGGCAAGGGATTAAGGCCCCTGTCGGGGTTTTGAATATTACCGACGTCATACAGAATATTGTAAACATTTTCAAACGATTAAGAACATGTCGGATACGATTCATTGCACTGCGCTAGCAACTGCACTACACTGGACTAATCATTGCACTGCGCTAGCAACTAGACGGCGCCGATTCGTGCACTACGGTAACCCCTGCACTAACCACTGCCAACCACTGCGCTGTGCGAGCCAACGCCCCAACCACTGCACTGCACTGCTAGCCGCTGCCCTGGGGGACGCGCAGCTACAACAATAACAACACCAAACCGCCACGTGCCTCAACGGTTTCGCATGCGTTCAAGTAGTACGTGCATTGCAACACCCATCACGCATAAACTCAATCAAGCATCAAACACTATATTATATATTTCACTTACGCACTACACATAACACGTCCTCCTCATCCATCTCCTCCGACTGCATTAAGCACGCGCATGCTATGCGCTAGTGGCGTCACGGTGTCGCGCGAGTGGTGCGTCGAGTGTCGACGAAGGGGAATGGGGAGGAGGTGAGGGGAATAACGGTGAGGGAGGAGAAGGAGGCGTGGGAAACAAGTTTTTTGTGGTTATGAGAAGAATGCGGCGTCGCCAGTGCTGAAACCGAATGGCAACTTTGAGTTCGTAAACGTAGGGCGAGGGTCTGATGAGACCCTCGCCCTACGTTTAGAAACTCGGGCCACACTGCGTTGCGCGTGGCCAACTACTCTTGCCCCTCCACTCCACCTTCCTCGGCCACTATCCCTTTCCATCGCCGTTTGGGTTCCAGTTCAAGGCTTGAGGCTTCGAGGGCACCCAGCTCGGTCGAGCCCTCCACCAGCAGCTGCACCAGACCGTGGCCATGCCGCCTCGCGCCACCCCGAAGACAGCACGCGAGCTCCGCCTAGAGGGCAAGGTCGTTAGGCTCAAGGCCAAGTTCGACAAGTAGCAGAAGTACAATGCGAAGCTCGCCGCCATCAGAGACAAGCGCGCCAAGTTGCAGAGAACGGCCCTCGCCAAGATCCTGAAGATCTCGGACAAAGCTCTGGCGCAGGACCTCGCCCTGTTCGCGGCGTTCAACCACCTGCTTCAGAACCCGCCGAAGTACAGGGATGACTGATCGTTCCTGTAGGCAGCCAGCTCTTGAACTGAGTTGATGGCGCGGCGTGCAGACCGCGGCCTGCCCCAGCCCTCCTGTCCTTCTTAGCTACACCTTCAAATTCTTATCATCTCTCCAGTCCTCCTCCTTCCTACTTCCTAGTCCTCACCTTTTGAGGCGGGCTCTCCGCTGAGGGACTCGAGGTGCGGGCGTCCGGCACGCTCCCAGTCGCCGCTGGATCGACGGCGGACGTAGCTAGCAAAAATGAGGGAAAACGGGGGAACTCTTCGAACAGCACTCCGAAGTTGCTTCAACATACTGCGTGAGAGTCCAGTCGCACTGTCGCGACTGGCAAGGCGGTTGCGTGACGCCA